TAGCTTTTGTACTTCCTTTTCCATTTGGCCAATCATACATTGAAGGAGTTGTTTTCTTCAGTGGATTTTTGTTTCTCCTCTTCCCTTTAGCCAATACTACTTTTTAAGCAGTTGTCTTCTTTTTCCAAGCTATTGACTCTTTTTTCCGTAATTGTCTTGCTTCACTCTCATTTATTTCCCCAGTTTTGCTTTTACCTCTTTTATATGATTTTTAAGATTTAGTCATTTGGGGGGTTTGGTTTTTTTTTTTTATGAGTTCTTCCTTGAGTTTTCTCTAGGCTTGGGACCATTTCTCATTTTTCTTTGGGGTTTTGCCCGTAGATGTTTTGACATTGTTGCCCTCTTCCAATTTTGTACCTTGATCTTGCCTGTCACTGTAATAACTTCCTATGGTAAGATTTTGTTGTTGTTGTTGTTGTTGTTGTTGTTGTCTTTTGCTCATCTATTTTTGTCATTTTTTTTCCCTTCTAAATTTGATCTACACTCACAGGGTAGTAGGGGCACTGTCTCAGGCTTCTTGTGCCAGAGGCTACAAGCCCTGCCTGTTTACCTGGTGCTGCACTGATGTTGCTCTGAGGCCCTGGGAAGCTCTTCTATCTGGTGCTGCACTACTGAGAGGATGGGGTGGGGTGTGTTTGGCACTACTAGAGGTCATAGGAGTCTGGCTGTCTGTGCTTGAAGCCGTAGGATTTTGGCAGCTTACCTGGTGCTGAGCTGGTGTCTTAGTGCTGGTATCTGGCATATGTTGAGGCCTCTGGGGTGTTTCTGCATTTCCTCAGGGGCTACACTGAAATACATGAAGGTCTGGCAGCTGGAAGTTGCATGTTTGGCCCAGGTGTTATGCTGAAGCATATGGTGGTTCTTGAACGTGGAGTTTGGTCATCAACTGTGCTGAGGCACGTAGTGGATCCTGGTGTTGTCATTTGCCAGCTCCACTACCCTGGGGCTCAGGTTCTTCCACTGATTTGCTGAGGTAGGGCTTGCTGCTGCCTTGGTGAGATGCTTCCTGTACTGGGTTGTGTTCCTCTTTTATCTGAGTGAGACAGACCTTTCTTGCCAATCTTCCAAGTTTCTTGGGCTAAAAGATTGTTTCACCTTGTCCTTTTACTGGTTCTGCTGTTCCAGGATTTGTTTGGGGGTGCTGTTTATATGGATGTTTGGGTGAACATGGGAGAGTTCCAGCAATTACTGCTTACTTTGCCATCTTGGCTCCTGACCCTTGATTCATGCATTTTAAAGATATGTCTTGAGCTTCCCCATAAGCCTCTTTGAAGATACCTTCAAAAATCTTCCATTCTGAAAAAAAAAAACCTTTTGGATACCATGTTCCTTGTGAATCTATTCCCTTACCTTCTGTCTTATTGCAATAATAACATTTCACAGAAAATCATATGCATTATCTACTTCAAAGTATTTTTGTGAGGATCAAATGAGTCAATATATGTACTTTGCAAACCTTAGAGGAAGTTTTATTACCTTCATCTTACAGATGAAGAAACAGACTAAGGAAAGGTGATTTGCCAAGTTGCAGTGCTAGCAAATGATAGATCCCATATTTGAAGCCAGATCTTTGCATTATAAGTCCAGAGCTCTTTGCAGTATAAGATATTACTTTAGTAAAATAAGGCAGGAATCATGACGAATCTGCCTACTTTACTCTGATAGTATAATAGCAAATAAAATGTGATTGCTTACAGTGCAGTCTTGCTTGATTCATGTACATTTTAGAAAGCTTGGTACTTTGTAGGTATGTAATTTATATGATTATAACATCTTACATGCATATTATACTTTTAAAGAACTTAATCATGATCTAGGCAGGACAATTATTATTATGCCAGTTTACAGACTGAGATAAAGAAAACTTTAAATACCTTGCCCAAAGTCACGAAGCTAGTAGGCACCCAAGCCTGGGAGTAGAATCTAAATACTCTGATAGCTAGTTCACTTTCCATTGTGCCAGGCTACATTTTCCTTTCATTTGATTCAATATAGTGTTTATGGAGATTTTTATAAATCAAGGCCTCTACTATACACTTAAATATAAGATGTGACTTACAGTCATGGCTTGTAGGTACCTGTATATTTGACCTTTCTATTCATGGTTAAGAGTGCTTTCCAGAGATGATACAATTTCCCACAGCATCCTAAGGAGTATTCAGAAGGCCTAATTTTGTAACAAGAGAAATAGAGACTGCAATAAATTGTGTGACTCAGTTGACATCATAATAAGCATGTCTGTTGTTCCTAGGCTAGCCTCCTGGATCTAATCTAATGCATTATCTATTGGTCTGAAAAAACTGTCAATAGACTGGCTCCTTGAATGATGGTTATTATCTAGTGGCTCAGTCCTCAAAATGCTTTTCCTAAATAATACTTCTTCTTTTGATTTTTTTTTTACAAGAATTTAGGTGTTTTCTTACTTCAAATGACCTGACACGTTAGGAAGTTTATTCTCCAGGTGCTAATTGATTTTTCTTAAACCAAGAATGACCTGTAATGGATATTTTTGTTGTTTTTCAGTAGTTTTCAGACATGTTTTACTTTTTGTCACCCCCTTTGAGGTTTTCTTGGTAGAGATACTGGAGTGGAGGAAAATGAAGCAAACGGATTAAGTGACTTGCCCAGATCAGAGAGCTACTAAGAGTTTCATTTGATCTGGATTTGAACTCAGGTTTTCCTGACTCTAGGCCTGGTGCTCTATCCACTGTGCCACCTACTTTCCTGGATGTTGTTTAATCAAGTGAAAATATTATTTCCCACTTGTAGAACAGGATTTTTTCTTTATTTCCTTAACTGATCCATTCCTTATCATTTTTCATGCATATGGTCATATTGACCAGTTATTTTTGTATCATATAGACTGAACTTAAAACTGCCTGATTGAAAAGCATCCTTGGTGATTTAAGAAGCCATCTTAGGTTGCTATGAAGGAAAATTTTCCTTCCTAGGAAGACTAATTTTAAAAGATATTTTGTCAAAGGACAAGAGTATAGTATATCTAGTATAGTAGTATGGTGTTTCTCATGATTTTCCAACCATTATTTAAGTTTTTATTGATAACTTTTATTTTTACATGACTTATTTCCTCCCTGCTATTTAACCTTCCATTGTAACAGAAAATAAAACAAAAAAATAGAGAAGCATCACCTCCAGTCCCCCAACACAGTCGCCAAATCTGACAGCGTATATAATATTCCACACTGGTAGTCTAATACTTTTCTAACTAGTATGGAATTGTCATATCTGTACAATGGTGTCAAAATTAGCTGTTATAATTTATCAGAATTTGTTGACATTTCTCTTGTTTTAATTTTTTGTTTCAGATGTGTATATTGATCTCATGATTCTTCTTATTTCATTTTATATCAGTCCAGAGAAGTGTTCCATGCTTTTCTGACTTTCTCATACTTGTTGCTAAATATATATTTTGTTTTCAGTCTTCTTCTCAACATGTTTTGAAAGAAACAACAAGAAGAAGAGCATGAATATTTTGTTTTAAATTTAGGAATTTCCTTGTTTTGTAGTGCACACTCAAGTGTTTCTAGGTTGTATTCTGCCTAATACCAGTAGTTCCAAATATTTTGTTTGCTCAGCAAATTCTTAATAATAAACATATGAGTGGCCTTCATGTAATAGTGTATGCAAGCATATACTGAAAAATAAGAGAAAAGGGTTGTTGATTGTACCTTATTTTAGATAGCAATACATTGCTGCTCATTGGCTTTCTTAAAGTAGGTGAAATTTTCATATGAATTATAAACATCGAGAATTTTTTAAGCTGACATATTTGACCATAGCATAATATTTGGGTTTTTATAGTTTAGCTTGAGTTAGCTGGAAAATTGCTATGAACCGCATTGGTCTGAAAATAGGAAACAACATTTTCCCTCCACACTGGTTTTTATAAAACTCAAGCATGTCTTTTTGTTTCAGAGAAATGTCATTTTAGAATTTCAGGCTACATTCAGAGATGCCCCATATTCATACCATCATGGTAGATTTGATCTGACGTTGGTCCGAGTTCTACCAATAACTCCCTGTGTGAATTTAATAATCACTTAACCTTTTAGGTTCCATTTTCTCCTCTGTAAAATGAGGAGGCTTACATTAGATTACCTCAAAAGTCCCTTCAAAATGTTAAATTCTTTGCTTCTATCTTTTGCCATCATTACTACTTCTGTCATTCCAGAAACCCTACTTCTGAAATTACTTCATTCACTCTAATGCTCTAATTTACCAAAATACTTTTCTCTCATTGATTTTGGCTGCCCTCTTGTCCTTTGAGCTTTGTCGTGGTATCATAATAACACACAAAGTATCTTCACAGTTATTTTGGTACCTTTAACTAGATGACCTCCATTCTTGTTTCCTGCTTTTCTGTTAAAAGAATTCCAAAAATTCCATATCCTGTAAGGAACATTTCTTTGCTAATATCAATTCCCTCTAAAAGATAATCTGTAACTCAGTTCTTTGCTTATCATTACTACAAAACTGCACTTAGCTTTTGATTTGTAGTTATTATTCAATTTATTTAGTCAATATATTTGATTAATTTGTGTGCTTAATGTATTTGTTCTTGCTATTATTTTTCTGTTGCTCTATGATGTAAAAAATGATCCATTTATTTTGTACAGTGCAAATACTTCATAAAATCATAAATCAAATGATAGGATCAAAGCTTTAAAGTAAGAAGGTTATTTACCAACCATACAGTTCAACCTTCTGATTTTACTTATGAGGAAATTGCAGCTAAGAGTGGGGAAGTGACTTGTTAAAGATCATCCAAATACAAAATGGCAGAACCAGAATTCAAACTCAGGTCTTCTGACTCTGCATCCAGTGGCTGTACCCCCATACTGCACTACCTTTCCATGTGTGCCAAATAATTACTTGCTTACTAAAGTCTTTGGTGACAATAAGTGAAATGAAGAAAACATTTTGTAGCCATCTGTATTGGGTTTCTCAAATGGTAAAATGTTCTTCTTATTCTTCAACAGGTCATTGCCCTAGTAATGGATATGTTTACAGATGTGGATATCTTCAAAGAAATAGTGGAGGCATCAGCCAGAGGGATTTCTGTATATATCCTCCTTGATGATTCCAACTTTGGTCACTTTTTAAAAATGACAGAGAAGCAAGGATGTCAAGTTCAGAGACTCAGGGTAAGGCAATCAGTTTTTGTAGTGTGTAAATCATATCAATTCAGTAATCTCTATGTAATGTTAATACTCAATTGAAATAGAAAACTATATCTAAGAGTGGTGGAGTATTTAATCCCAACTAGTTGCCCCCCTTTTTTTTTTGGAAAGTAACTGACGTTATACAACCCTTCAAGGTTGAAAAATTCCATGTATAACAAATTTCTTTGTCAACTTAGCACAATGCCTGGCATATTAATAGGCAAATGATAAATTCTTAATGATCAGTTGATAGGTTAAAGTTGTATCTATGCAACATCAAACTTATCAGTTTGTTGTTATATTCACCTAATGGGCTGGAGGGACTCTGTATTTGACTTGTTTTTAATTACTTAATTGAAACTTTCTCCTTCTGTATTTTTATGTAATTGAAATAGCTTCAAAGTACTATCTCTAAAAAATATCATGGTTAATGTGGAAAGCAAGTATATAAAAGCTGCTGAAATGACATAACTAGAAAGAAGGTGGATTGCTAATGTAGACAGAGTGAGGCATGACCAGTGGGCAAACTGTTTGCTCTATTTATATACATGCAGTCAATGTTTAGAAATCTAAAGGAAGACCCCTATCTTGTTGGGTGGAGCTCCTGTGGAAGATTTATGGGCGGATATAGAGAAGTGCCTGTACCTGTTAGGAACAGATAGGTAGCCCAGTGGATAAAGTACTGGGCCTGGAGTCAGGAAAACATGAGTTCAAATCTAGTCTCAGAGACTAGCTATGTAACCTTGAGCAAATCACTTAAACTCTGTTTGCCTAGGAGAAATCTAGATGGCTCATTAGAGCATTGGGCCTAGAGTCAGGAAGACCTGAGTTCAAATCTGTCCTCAGATGAGTTTTGATCTGCATCTCTGGAGGAATGCCCACATCATTGATTGACACATTATTCATTGCCAGCACAGATCCATGTCTGTGTTGAAGTTGGGGAGGAAAAGCCTATAATATTCAGGCATGTGTGTAGATGTAGATGTATATATGTATGTATACACCCAATACAGGATTCTGGTGTATGTTTTATAAAAGATTTAAAGTTCAATTTTCTAGGATAGCTTTTACTTTTCCATTGTCAGTTAAAGTTTTTGGTAACAGAATTGTAAAATGAAATGCATAGTTTGGATTAAACGACCTCTAAAGTTCTTTCCATTCCTAAATCTAAGATCCTAACTTTTATGTTCATATTTTTTTAGAACATCAGAGTGAGAACAGTAAAAGGCCAAGATTATCTTTCAAAAACAGGAGCAAAATTTCATGGGAAAATGGAGCAGAAATTTCTTTTAGTTGACTGCCAGAAAGTTATGTATGGCTCCTACAGGTAAGAGCAATGTATTTGAAGGCAGACATAATTATCATTTAATTAAAATTATTTCTTCTTGTGGTCTATTTTTTCAGTATTTCATAAGCAATAGCCAGTAGAAATAATAGGTTCATAAAGCACCTTATATACATTAATTCATTTGAGACTCAACAATCCCCTTGGGGAAAGAACAAGAGCTATCATTATCCTCATTTTACCACTGAGGAAAAAGAGACTCGTGCTAATAAAGGCATCTAGGGGACATAGTAGATAGTGTATTGGTCCTGGAGTTAGGAAGAATTGAGTTCAAATCCAGTCTCAGACAAATTACTACTTATATGACCCTGGGTAATTCACTAAACCTTTGTCTGCTTTGTTTTCTTCATCTGTCAAATTGGAATAATAGTAATAGCACCTACCTCCCATGATTTTTTTGCAAATCTTAAAATACCATATTAAAGTTAGTTATTGTTGTTTTTGTGATGATGATGATGATGATGAGGAGGAGGAGGAGGAGGAGACTTACCCTGGGTAACCTAACCAGTGATTCTCAGAGGTTGGATTCTGTCCAAGGTCTTTCATGACTCAAAAGTCTATAGCTTTATCCATCATTCTATGCTACCTGGACTTGAGTTTATGTCTTGATTTTAACACATACTAGCTGGGTGACTGAGCAAACCACTTAGCTTCTCAGTTCTTTATTCAGTTTTCTGAAACTATAAATTGCAGAGAAAGTAGTAGCATGCAATAGTAGGAGTTTCTTCATTCAGTAGTTCTCTATACCAATGAAATCACAAATTTTGTCCCGATCTCTAATATCATCCTAAGAAAAGTCTAAGTGAATAATTACAGAGGATGCCATCATATACACTGTAGAGAGAGATATATGAGGTACAGCACCTTTTTCTCTTTATTCCCACCATAGCACACCTCATGGAGCCTGACAAGTCCAAGGGACCAGTTATTCCCTCCACTACCATGCCGTCTTCTCAATTAAATTAACAATATAGCAATTTAGAAAAATAAAAGATATTCCTTTGGTCCTAGTCATTCTCTAGACCCCAGTTGTTCACATTCTGTTTGGCATTGCTACAAGCTCATTTTAAACTTCTCTTTCTTCCAGAAGCTATAATGTGATAATCCAAACCTCAGGATTTCTTAAAGGCTTTGCATGTATCCACAAATCAGAGTTTATACATAAAATGCAATCTGGTAGAGTAAAAGACCCTGCCTGTGGAGTCAGAGGGTCAGCATTAAAATCTTGCCTGTGATGCTTATTCCCTTGTGTGACCAGGGGCAAGTCATTTAAATGCCTTGGACCTTTGTTTCCTCAGTGAGTAAGAGGGTTAAACTAGATGTCCATTGAGGCCACTCTTCAACTCTAAATCTATGCTACGAAAGCTTTCTTAACCAATATCTTCAATTTCTCGACCCTATTCAATTAACTCAAGGTCATTCACCCCTCTTTATTATAATAAAATCTCCTCTCATCTCAGTTTCTATAGTTAATTCCTTAAATACCATACTTTTTAATATTTTATTTTCATTATAAACTTAACAAACTAGACATAAACACTCCATTACACAGGAAAAAATAAATAAATAAAAGAGGGTTGTATATGAGCTCATGACTTCATTATGAACTTATACTTTCTGAAAACAACAATTCTCTTACTGCCATCTCATCTTTGTGTGATTATGATACATCATTTCCCTACTACTGGCTTATCCTCTTCTCATTTTTCTGTTCCTTACCAATGCAGCCAAGTGCTGCTAATAAATTCATGCAACTCTGATAACTTGGTTCATGTTTTCTCGTCATAGCACTTTCCTGCTTCATTAGATTCTTGTCACATACCTCTATCATTTGAAGCCTTAACAAGAATTAAACCCCTACCTACTGCCAACCTTCACTTATAGCTGATTACCTCTCAACATATTAAATAGAAAACATGGAGAGCATGAGGCATGAATTCTCTCAATTATATCCCCTTGTTAAATCCTCACTACCATGTCTGTGCTTTCCTTGAAACTTTCCTCTTGTCAAGTAAAGATCTCTTGTGCATCCAGCTTCTGGGAAAAAGGCACTGTGCCTTTTCTCAAAAGTAAATACCTCCAAGTGTCCTTTGCATCCCGTTCCTTTCCATTTCTTGAAGCCTGTGCTAGTAAGTATGCTTAAATTTTCCTGTGGTAGTATCTTTAGTATAAAATTAAATAAAGTAGCATGTGAAGTGCTTAGGAACCCTTCAATTGCTATTTTAACTTGAGGTAATATGATGTGGTGGGTGGGGAACTGTACTTTGAGTCAGGAAGAAATGCCCCCTCAGCCATTTACAGACAATGTAGTCCTAGGCATGAAACTTATCTTCTACCTTCCTCAGTTTACTCATATATTGAATGAGGGGCAGGTGGATTTGAAGGCTTCTAAGCTTTTAAAATCTGTGTAACTTCTGGAGAATCTTTTATTTCCTCCTCCAGTGGCCATTTCTGCTTTCAAACCTGTGCAGATCTTTAATACTTCCCAGGAACTTTAAAATTTGAATTGTTTGTTGTTTACTTTATTCTTCTTTGTATATCACACCATCAAATCCATTATTAAGTATAAATCATCTTTTCCATCCCCAATAAGTTATCAAATTCTGTTTATTTTATTTCCATGAAGTCTCTTGCTTCCATCTTCTTCTCTAAATTTAATAACTTATTATAATATCCTAAATGCTCTCTCTGCCTTCATTCTTACCCCTTTACAATCCACCCTAGCCATTTCCTATTTCTCCAGTCTCCTTCCATTTTACTTCCATCCATGTGCTCTGTCTTCTGATCACATTGGCTTATTTGCTATTCCTTGAATACAACATCTAATCTCCCTTCTCAGTGATTTTACACTGACCATTTCCCAAGTCTACCATGCTATAACCTTCAAGTCTTAAAATCCCTGGTTTTCTTTAAGACTCAATTCAAGTGTTGACACTTCTAAGAGACCTTTTTGTAGTTTCTCTATTTGTGGTTCTATTCCCCTCTGTGGTTACTTTCACTTTTATTTTCTATATTTTTTATTATTTGTTCTGATTTAGCCATGTTATGTACCTTGCTAGAGTATAAACTCTTTGAGAAGAGGATTTTTTTTCTGTTTTCTTTTTGCATCACCAATGATTAGCAGCCTTCATACCACTTAATAAATGCTTGTTGATTAATTGACTTTCTTCATTCCTTACTCACCTTTACCTTTCAGAAAATCTTTTCTTTAAGGCCTGGCTGTGGTCAGGCCACCTCCTGCATAAAATCTTCTATGATCTCTTTCAGTACTCACATTTTACGTTGTAATATCTTTATTTATGTTCATGTTTGATACTCCCATTAAATTTGAAAGCTCCTTGATAGTAGGGATAATGTTGTTCTGATCTGTCTAATATTAGCACCTAGCATAATATTTTATGCATAATAGATGCTCAATAAATATGTGTTGTTCTTGTCTCTCTACAATTAACCCTTTGCTTTTACATTTCTACACATTCCTTACCTGGTTGCCCACATTATTACCCCACATATAGATTATAGCAATAATCACTTAACTCTGCCTCTATTCTCTCCTCCCTCCAACCTGTCCTTTACATAGCTGCTAGAAAAATCTAGCTCAAACAGCACTTTTACCTCCTTTCTCTCTACCTCATAAACTTGTAATAACTGTCTCTTGACTATTTTTCATCTCAGGCTATGCCTTCTCCAGAAAAACCTTTCTAAACCTCAACCTTTGCCCCTAGGAGAAAGTGATTGATGTCTCCTCTCTCATTGTTCTTATATTTTATCTGAACCCCTGTGTCTTCCTTCAATCATAGTTATTTATATTTGTCTCATGTTCTATATGAAAGTCTGAAGAACATGAAAAATGTCACATTTAACTAGCTCTTCCCTGGTACCTACATATAACTTTGCTTAATGAATGAATGCATAAAATGCAAATTCAGACTCCTGAGCTTTGAATCGAAGTCTTCCCCCTAACATTATGGATTTAGAGCTGGGAGAAACCTTAGATGTTGGCTACTTCAGCACCTCGTTTTACAGATGGTAAAACTGAAGCCCAGAGAAGGTTTTTTTTTAAATTTTATTCATTCATTCACTCACTCATTCATTCATTCATTCATTCATTCATTTTCGCCCACAGTCACACAGGTAGGACATTTCAAAGCCAAGATTCAAGTATGTTCTCATTCACTTTCATCAGTATATGCTGGTAGCATCATCTGGATTGTAAGCTAAAAGAGACTAGATCTCCTTTTTCTTTATCTATCTGCATTGTACAGGATAGTGCTTAACACAGAATGGATAATCAGTACTTTTATTTTACAACTCACTGACTCCATATATTATGCCATACTAGCCTTTTTAGAAAAGTAATTGAAAAGCTTCCATAGTGTTTTAAGTGGTAACTCCATAGGAAGGATTAGAAATTTTAAAATTATTCCTTTTAATCAATATCTAGTCTTACTTCTGGCCCAGAGTTTACATGACAGTTGTTATACCTTCTGCTTTCCTTAAAACTATTGTCCTTTATATTAAAAATTGTTTTATAATTTATCCCCTGTGTAGTTTATTCTAACTGGATGTTACTTTATAATCTGTACTTATTTTTACATTAAATATTTGTGTAGTTTGTCTGTAAGTTAGCATTTGTAGCTGTTGCTCCCAAGATCTCTTGTTGCTTTTTAAAGCATCTATCATAATAAATTACAGTTACTTATTAAATCACAATGATAAGATTTTGGCAAAGTGTTGAGACTTTATGAACCTTGACTTCAAAGTGTATTATCATGTCTGGTCTTTCTAACATCATGGACAAGGTGTTATTTTTGAAAATATTGATCTGCCTCATCTTTGTTTAGCTAGACATAAATATAGACATAGACATAGTATAGCTAGAGATATAATATAGATGTAGACAGCTATATTTATAAACATAGTTATGCAGATAGATATAGATATGGAAGTAGCAAAAGAAGCATATAGATATAAATGATGTAGATACATATGTTATACTTGATGACAGCCTTTCAGTGAGGTTAAAGCTTACTAAGCAGAATTGCAAATTACGCTATGAACCTTCATATAGTGTTCTGTTTTAATGTGAACATATTTACCCCGCAATAATCAGTAGTAATTGCAGTTGACAATGAAGCCTGGACTTCAGTTTTTGTAACATTTAATAGAGGAATGCAAAAGTCCTATTTATCAAATCCTCTATTACTATTTCATAGTGATGCTAAAAAGTATGCTATATTAATTACATTATTAATAAGTTCAGTATACATATAGTATATTTATAGTTATCATTAAATATAGTTTGTGGTAGATTACTAACAGTAGTTAAAAATGCTCAAATGTATTAAATACATAATTTCTAACTGCTGTCTTTTTGTAAAATATTTTCAGCTACATGTGGTCATTTGAAAAAGCACATCTCAGCATGGTACAGATTATCACAGGACAGCTGGTTGAATCATTCGATGAAGAATTTAGGACTCTATATGCTAGATCCTGTATTCCTAGTCCATTTGCCCAGGAAGAATCAGTGAAGGCAAAAAATGGCAAGCCTCTCTGGGAAAATGGCAAATACCGGCACTCAGTATCTTCTTTAGCTTCCTTTTCCAGCCAGAGAAATCTTTTTGCTAGGCAAGACAATCCTGGTTACTTTAAAAATAGAGGAATATATGCAGTCAATGAACATGACAGACCTAGCATATGGAATCATGGATACAAACCACACTTTTTACCAAATTTTAATGGTCCAAATAAAATCCGCCAGCATCAACCCAGTCAGATAAATGAAAATTGGAAGAGACATAGTTATGCTGGGGAACAGCCAGAAACAACTCCATATCTACTGCTCAGCAGGGCTATGCATCGGGCCAACAATCCATCAACTAATTGGAAAATGCCCTCAGATAGCCTTAGTGTTGCATCATCATCACGAGGTGGTTATATGAATCCCCGCCATATGCCTGCACAGAGCTTTGCAGACCGCCTGGCACAGCGGAAAACCACAAATCTTCCAGAAAGAAATTCAAATGTACGAAGATCTTTTAATGGGACTGATAATCACATTCGATTTTTGCAACAAAGGATGCCCACCCTTGAAAACACCACAAAATCCTTCCTGCGGAACTGGCGAATCGAAACCTATTTAAATGATCACTCAGAAGGGATGCCTGATGCAAATGGCTCAACTCCCGGTGACAGGTTTGAAGGTTATGATGGACATGAAAATATTAAAGCCAATGCCCTGTATACTCATTCTCGTCTTCGTTCATCAATTGTGTTTAAACCAACTTTACCAGAACAGCAAGAAGTGAATAGTTGTACAACAGGATCCTCAAACTCAACGATAATTGGTTCTCAGGGAAGTGAATCATCTAAAGAGATATCAAATGTGCAACACTCTTCAGACCAAAATTTACCAGAATTAACTACAAATCTCCAGCCACCTCAGTTAGATGAAACAAAAAGGCACAGCTTGAAGGTTCTAGAAAACCACCATGAACCTGTTTTAAATCAAAATACACATAGCCCTCCTGAATCAAATAACTATTTATATACAACTTTAGGTGTGAACAAACAGATGGAAACTCTGAAAACTGAGCAAAATGAGAACCTACTAAAAAGGAGAAGTTTTCCATCTTTTGAACACTCCAAGGCCAATCTGGATCATGGTGGGGGCAAGCACTATGTATATGGCACGCTTACTAGGAATAGAGTCAAGCAGCCAGAGAAACCCAAAGAAGATTTATTGAAGAGCTCTAAAAGCATGCACAATGTGACCCAAAACCCAGAGGGTGAAGATGAAGACCTCAAAGGGGAATCTTCAAGCACTGCCACCACCAAGTCCGTTTCTATTGCTGCTCTTCTGGAAGTAAACAAAGAGGAGATCCCAAAAGATATGTCTTCCAAGAAAGAAGTGAAGGGTTCCCCAAGTTTTCTGAAAAAAGGTTCCCAAAAACTGAGGTCATTACTGAGTCTCACACCAGAAAAGAAAGAAACTCTGTCAAGAAATAAAGCTCCTGCTTTTTATAGAATGTGTAGTAGTTCTGATACATTAGTTTCAGAGGCAGAAGAAAATCAAAAGCCAAAAAAATCAGAGCCAAAAATAGATTCATCTCCAAGAAGGAAACGCTCTTCTTCAGCCAATTCACAAGGCAGTATCCATAAGAGTAAGGAGAATATTGCTGTTGGATCCCCTCTAGTGAGCTCAGATGAGAACAGAACCAGCCCTTCCGCATACCCAGTTGAAAAAGAGTTCTTAGAAAGTGCAGGAGATGCTTCTGCTCCAAGATTCAACACTGAGCAGATTCAGTACCAAGATTTAAAAGAAGTTAAGCCAAGGATAGTCACTGAAAGAGCACCTCCTTCCTCCCCGAGGCCAAAGCCTAGCGACCTGCTACGGTCTCGTTCAACAGACAGGCGTGTGTATAGTCGTTTTGAGCCGTTTTGTAAGATAGAACGCTCTGTTCAACCCACAAGCCACATGCCAAGCCCCAGCACACACCGTCCTGAGGTAAAGAACATTAGTAGTGGCAATAGCTATGGTAGGACCAGTCCCTTGCTCAACTATAATTCTGCTGTCTATCGCTCTTATCAGCCAAATGAAAATAAATTTCGAGGATTTATGCAAAAATTTGGAAATTTCATACACAAAAACAAATAGCTCTAATTTCAGCAATCTGTGCAAAATTCTGAAGTTTCTATGGACATGAATACTTGAACAGATAAGACTATGGGCAGGTTCTGTAAAATGCAAATGGGTTTCTTTGGGGAAAATTTTATCGCTAATGTACATGTTTACGTGAATATTATTGCATAGTAAAAGTCTACTTTTATGTAATAAATTCAGCCTTTGACATTGTAGCTGTAATTTGTCCAAAGGAAGTTTTGAAAACAATTTTAAAATTAATATGAGTGAAAATGTTTATTTTTCTTTAGACTGAAGATTTAAAAGTATGATAATTCTTTGTAAGAGAAATAAATGGAAAGATAGTGAATACTTTTAAATCACTAATATCATTTTCTAAAGTCTTAAAAAAGAGGCGGTCATGGTGTCAGTGGCTCTTTAAATTGTATCTTTCTGAGATTTGTAGCCTCAAAAACAGAAGAAAAAACAAAAAGAAAATCCACAATATTATAATGTCTTTTTAATCAGCTTTAAAGTCTTCTACAGGGTAAGTTAGAACATTTCATTAGCATGTTATTCATTTTCCTATGAAGAATAGCTAACTGGTTTGGCAGCCAAAGGAAAGTGTCATTTGGATGCCCCCCCCCCCGATATTTCATTTTGCCAGAGCAATCAGAAAAGTATTAGCCTCTTGCAGTACAAGTGTGTCACAGGATTTCTTCTCAACAATGCTATAAATTTTTGAGAACTTGTTTCTGCCTCTGGATGAAAGTAACTAATTTTGATTCCAGCTTCCTCTGGCCCTCCCTCAGGTTCCAGTTTACTGAAGTCCATATTTACCTTTAACCTGTAAAACCAACAATAGAACTTGGATGAGTTGCACTTTTCCCCACCTTTATTTAACCTAGCAGCACCAAAGTTTCTTAAAAGAAAAATGTAATATGACATTATTAGGAGAAAAATAATGATTCTAAACAGCATTCTTGCAATATCTTTATCTACTTTTCAAGCTAAGCTAAATACAGTAGAATTGTAGTGTATGAGAAAGGGCACTATGTAACAAGTAGGGCCATTCCTAGCCTGGCTATGAGACTAATTATGTGACTTTGGGAAGATCTATTTATCTTCCTCATGCCCTATTATTTCTCTGTAAATTGGAGATAATAATACCTGTTGTCACCTTCTTATAGGAGGTTGGTGAGGAGAACAGGAAACAAAAGATGTGAAAGCACTATTTAAAAATATGGGTTATTTTAAAATTGAACTTATTCCATTTAGTTGTAAAGAATTTGCTGCAGCAACAAAGAAACTTAATTTGAGAAATAAAAAATATTTTTGTCACCCCTGCAAGTCTATTATTATCATTTTCCAAATGAAGTATTAAGCACCGTGTACTTGCAAGACCACTGGATTTAGAGCCACAGATCCTGACTGTCACCTGCTATCTGTGAAAACTTGAGCAAGATGCTTAATTCCTTTGTACATAAGTTTCCTGTTTCATAAAACGAAGGGGTTGGACTAAGTGGTCTGTGCTCCCTTCCAACTCTAGATCTGTGATCATTAAGTTAATATAGGTAATATTTTGCTCAAAGAATAAAAAAAAAATCTTTCAATTAGGTAATTCCTATGTTAAAGACTTTATTTCAAGATTCAGATATAACTATGAAACTAAAGCTAGTCAGTGCAGGGCAAATTAAAAGACTTGTTGGAAATTAAACACGTTTCTTTTCTGTAACCATTAGTCTGCTTCTCATTGTATATCGGTAGCATTTTAAAAATAATAACATGGAAGCCAGATAGCTAGTAACTAATATCACATCATTTATAAAAATGAGAGTTTGCATCCATGTATTAATGTCCCATAATCTATAATGCTAAACAGGTTCAATTTTAGTGTAAAACAGGGACAGGATCTAGGAACTTTGCTCTTTCCTATCAATCAATCAAAATATATTAAGTGCCTGCTCTATGCCAGACACCCTACTAAGCACTGAGGATACAAAAAGAGCCAAAAAAAAAAGTCCCTGCCTTCAAGGAGCTTATACTCTAACGGGGGAGCCAACATGCAAAAAAATGTATGCGAAGCAAGCTATATATTAACATGTCAGGCACTAGAATTAAGAGAGTTGGGGAAGGCTTCTGGTAAGTGATGGGGTTTTAGTTTGGACTTAAAGGAAGCCTGAGAGGTTAATAGGTTGAACAGAGCAGGGAGAGTATTCCAGGCATGGAAGACAGCTAGAGAAAATGCCCAGAGCTGAGATGGGTTGTCTTGTTTGTAGAACAGCCAGAAAAATGGAAGAGAGAAACTTAAAACGCAACTATATAGACAGAGAAAAATGGGATTAAAAATGTATACATACAAACATATAGCTATTACATTAGAAAAAATTACCAAGAAGTCAATTAAAAATATCTCCAGCCTAAACTATTAGTTGAAATAGATGTGCTCCATTTGATGTGACCATTTCGTATTTGTATCATATATGCAGTTTACTTTGTGGGTTTGTTTTCAGATCTGCTTGGGTACTTGATTCTTCATAATATTTTGTGCCTAATTGAGAATTCAAGCTCAGAAAAGAAAAAGCAAAATCTTATGGTAATAAATCATAGTCCTTTACCAACTCCTTCACAAACAGGTGCCTTGGATATCTGTTAGTTTTTGTTAATACTGGGTTATGAGTTCTCTCAGCTTATTAAAATCATGGACTAAGTATCACAGGTCTTCAGAGGGAGGTAAGGAAATAAACATTTACTAAGCACCTATTATGTGTCAGTCACTGTGATAAACATTTGCAAATATTATTTCATTTAATCAGAGTTAGAGCTGGAGGCCCAGAGTGGGGTTGCAACTTGCCTAATTAGTAGAGTTGGTATTTGAACCCAGATCCTGACCTAAGTCCATTTTTCATCATCAGTTATCTTCAGGTAGTCCTGGACCTTAGATGGGGAGAAAAAATTAGGACAATAGGATTTTAAAGCTGAAACTAAACAATGATTGGCTACAGGAAATTATTTTCCCATTTACTAGTACATTATTACAGATTATTATGTTCTAAAGTCAAAAACATGGACCAACTATATGAAATCAGATAATTTTACTTTCTTTATATCTCTCAAAACAGGCAGCTTTGTAATGCTAATTCAGGCCTGCATAACATACAGCCTGCCAAAGCAGGCCACGGGTTGTACGTTGTACAGGCCTGCTTTATGCAAATCTCTCAGCAAAACTGCCTATATGAATTTCCCTTATTGCATACTACCAAATGGTCACAGAGCCATTCTGTCTTAATCAAAATGATGGCATGTGGGATGCTTATTTATCTTTTGTGTTCTTGAACAATGCATTCATCCATGACAGCTCAGGCCATTGCAAAATAAGATGAAATTCTTTTTTTTTTTTTGCTTATTTGTTATTTTTCTCCTCTCTTGGTAGTTTACTTTCTGATATTCTCTCTGCCAATTCACCTGCCAATGCCAAAGTCAGTATCTGGTCAAAAGTTTTCAAATTCTTCATGACTCAGGGACTATTGAATTCTAATTATAATAATCTACATTTCTATGGTGCTTCACAGTTCACAAAAGGTTTTGCTTACAACAGCTACATCAAGTAATATAATAATTTGTATCCCCTTCTTACTAGTGAAGAAAGTGAGGCCCAGAGAGCTTGAGCAAATTGTGCCTAATCACATGGTGGTAGAGCTGGAATTTGAATGTAAGCCTGATGACTTTTAAATACAGTGATCTTTTCTGTACCAGTGCTATCTTTCTAAGGTTGTTCCAATGCTCTTATAATTTGACTCTTTTATTTAGTTTACTTATGATACTTGTTTTTATATCATGCATTTTCAGATATCTTCCCCCTTCAAACATACACACATACACATATACAGAACCTTCCCTTGTAACAGAAAAAAAAAATAAGCACTATGAAAATAAAGAACATTTCTGGCGGTGTATTAACTATTCTGTACCTGTATTCCCCACTTCTCTAAAAAAGTTATTCAAAATTATTAAAACCTTAACTTCCACTACCATATGGGGAAAATATGGTCTTTTATGGTTGGATTATTTGCAAGGTAATTTTTCCATTCTTTTCTTTTCCATATTGGTTATAGTAGAAGAGAAACTGATATTATTTAAAATCTTCACATTGCAGATTTTTTTTTGTTCAGTAACTAATAACAACTTATAGAATACCCAGGAAAAGTGATGTATAACCTGAAATTTGGCAAATGATATCAAAATACTTTAAAATGCCAAGTACACAAAACTGTTTAGGTCTCTCTGTAATAGGTAAACCAATTAATTTTGGTTTTTAGCTGCCATAGTTGACAGTGGGTCAATGACTCAGTGTCTGATTTGAAAGAACACATTTTGTGAGTCAGTTTTTTTGTGGGGTTTCAATAGAAAAATGGATGTATGGAGTTTTTTATACTCAACTATCACTGTATTGTACTCAGTTATACCTCACATTTTGAAAGTTATTTTTCTCTATTTCCCCTTCTGAGAATATAAACATCAAAATAAAATAGAATTATTATTTATAACGAACAAAGAACAATAATTTGTGGTGTGCAAAAATAAAATGATTATCCATTCTGTTACAACTTTTCCGTTAAAATCTTTGTACAGCTTGAATACTCAAAATATTTATAAATATTAAAAAAATTGACTTGTCATAGTCTAAAAGATGAGTTGGTGCAAGCAAAGACTCAACTTTTGTACATAATGGCCATGAAATGTGAGCAAAACAGATGTTCTTCCAAATTTATTCTTGGACCACATCAATTGACTATTAAAGATTTTATAAAAAAAAATTTAATTGTAAGTTTAAGTTCTCTTTATAACCTTTTCTATACTTGATCTTCCAATGCTCAGTCTTCAAGCCATGCTTGTGAAATTAAGTGCTTCATAATTTAGACTCATTTAATCACAAATATACCTGTTACGATTAAAATGTTTCTTTTAATAGAAATAGCATTTATATTAAAAAGACAGACAAAAAACTTAGCCCCAAGTCTTCCTCTTCAAGCAACATTCACATTCCCTTAACCATTTAAATATGTACTTTGATATAGTAGTCGGTTTAATACATTATATTTGAGGAAATTAAAATAATGATTACATTTTCTTCTTTAAAAAGTCGATTGTGGACTAATAACTAATTCATTGTTTGACATCTAATGATCACTTGCCTACTTTTGAGATCTAATTCTACAAAAAAAAATGTGCTCTAAAACTTTTGATCTAGATTTCCAGGCTAACCTACCAAACTGAGTTAGACAAAAAGTAACTGTACATGAATTGATAGCATCCTCTTTCACAAGTCCATGTTTTCTAAATCAACCAGCTCATCATTTCCTACACCACAGCAATATTCCAATCCTAATCACATCCTATCTGAGAGATTGTGTATGAAAGTTTTTTTTCACTCAATTTTCTGTATTCCTTCTATTTTTGGCAACATAGGTTTCATTTGTACAAGAAAATTTTAAAACAATTAAAATTATCTTTTCTTACAGTAACAATGCTCTCACCTTATAATAGAGTTTAAGGTGTGATAGGGCTGAATATACTTCCTTTAAGTCTTTTTCACCCTGATTTCTTTGAAGTTCCTGACCTTTTGTTCTTCCAAATGAACTTTGTAATTATTTTTTCTAACTCAGTAAGGTAATTTTTTTAGTTATTTAATTGTGATGACATTGAATAAATAGATTAGTTAAGTAAAATTGTCATTTTTAAAGGAGAAATTGAATTTTAAAAGAACAAAAATAATTTTAAAATCAAATAAGAATAGTAGAAAGTGGGGAAAGGAATGAGGAAAAAGAAATGATGATAAGGAGGGTAGATTATAGGAGGCAGTCAGAAGCAAAACAGAATTATGTGGAGGGGTGAAGGTAAGTAAGAGAAAGGTAAATAGAAGAGAATAGAAGAGAGGTAAATACACAGGAATCAGAATCATGAATGTAAATGGGATGAACCCACCCATAAAACCAAGAGGAAATCAGAATGGATTAGAAATCAGAATCCAACAATATACTGTTTATAAGAGATGCACTTAAAACCAAAAGACACACACACACACACACACACATGAAATAATGGGTTGAAGGGCAGCTAAGTGGCACAATGGATAGAGCACCAGCTCTAGATTCAGGAGGACCTGAGTTCAAATCCAGCCTTAAACACATAACACTTACTAGCTGTGTGACCCTGGGCAAGTCACTTAACCCCATTTCCTAGCCCGCCAAAACATTATAAAAAAAAAAAAGAAATAATGAGTTGAGTAAAATCTATTGTGCTTTTTTTGTTATTCAATTGTTTCAGTAATGTCTGATTCTTCATGACTCTATATGGAGTTTTCTTAGCAAAGATACTGGTTGGCATTCCTTCTCCAGTTCATTTATTACAGACGAGGAAACTGAGGCAAACAGGGTTAAGTGACTTCCCAGGGAAACACAGCAAGTAAGTGTTTGAGGCAGAGTTGAACACAGGTCCTCCTCAGCATGCTACTTCACTATGCCACTTAGCTGCCCCTATTATCCCTTAGTTGAAGAAAAAAAGGCAGGAGTAGCAAACATGATCTTAGAGAAGGAAAAGGAATAGCAGATGTAATTAAAAAGAAATATTCAGGGAAACTACATTTTGCTGAAAGACATTATAGACAAATTAATATCAGTACTGATCATCTTTGTGCTAAATGGCATAGCATCTAGTTTTATATGGAAAAGTTAAATTAATTACAAGAGGAAATAGGGAGTAAAACTATACTATAGGGGGATCCTAATTTATCCCTCTCAAGACTAGATTAATCATAAAATGAGAAAGAAGTTAAAGAGATGAATATAATTTTTAAAAGTTAAATATGATAGATCTCTGGCAAATGATGAATGGTAAACGAAGGGATTGTGTATATTTCTCAGCTGTGCATGGCACCTTCACCAAAATTAATCATATAAACCTCACAAATATGCAGAAATATTAAATACACCTCTTTCAG